TGGTGGATCTTGGAGTACTTGTAGAGGATGCCCAGGAGCGGCTCCTGCAGCTCTTCCACATGCCGCTTGTTCCTCAGGAGCGGGCGGTCTGCGGGAGCGCGGCGGAGTGCAGTTAGTGCGCGGTCAGTGCGCGGGGCCGCAGCCGAGGGCGGCAGCGCCCGGGGAGAGGGAAAACCGGCGGTAACGCGTGAGGGCTGGCCCCGGTTACCTGAAAAAAACACCGTTGTTGCTACCAGCAGCGCGTACTCGGTCTCAGTCACGTTCAGTTCCCCCATGCTTCTGTAGAAGTAAAACAGTGCGGTAATAAACTCCTCGGTTATACCTTAAAAATGAAATAAAACAATCAGAATGTTATTTCAGTGCAGAATCTGGCACTGCCATTACAGATCATCTTTGTCCTGATCTTCTTACGGCTCCAGGCTGTTCCAGTGCATGAAATGGCAAACTCAGAAGCGTTAATTCCTGAAGCGTGGCAGCTGTGCTGTGGAGCTGTTGATACCTCGTGGCTCGAGGCCTTGCCCTAGGATACAAGCAAAGATGAAACACCACCGCTTCCCTCCCTAAGGATCTAATGACCCCGCATGCAGCCGAGCAGCTCGAGGGATGGGAGAGGAAGAGGAGGAGAGGTGAGACCGAGCCGTGGCCACACTGACAGTGTTGCTCGGTGTGATTAAGAACAGGGCCAGCAAAGCAAAAGATTCCCAGGCGTTTTGATTCTGAGGCCTCCATTACCTGTGGTAGTGGTGGAAGTTGGACTCTCTTCGTTGTGAGACATTTCCATGGAATAAATGTTTTTATCAAGGTTTTGAATGTGACAACATGTCTCATGATCTGAAAGCCTTATGTGACCTGGAATAAGACAGATGACAGTTCCCAGACAATCTTACTGTGACGTTAAATGTTTGTTTGCATCTGCTTTGCCGATATATACCTGAAAATGTGTGAATTTTTCCCAGATCCATGCAGGTAGAAAAAATTGCTCTTTTTGGCATTCAGCACCAAGTTCATTGGTTGCATTATTGTTGGTTAAAGTCTCTTGTGTTAAATTTGACACGATATATAATATGTCATTAATCTAGCTAATATTATTCATCCACCCCACAATTTCCATAAACACTCAAAAATGTTGCTCTTTGTTTGGAGCTAATGGGAGGAAAACAGATCAAATTAATTTTGTGGGGTTTTAATTTTTTTTTATATGCCTATTGAAGGTACACAGGCATTCCCAGTACTATTCTCAGTACCAGTATGCTTGAACAGGAAATGATTTGAGATTAAAGTGAATTAAAATAAATAGGAGTTGTTTCAAAATGGCAGAACCTCCTACTGGTGTTAATAGAAAGCTTGTTAGTCAAACTTACTTTCGCTGGTTGATGGCTGGCATTCACTAATTCTTTGGTTATATATTTGGGCTGAACGCAAGAACATTGCTTCAACTGTTGACCCTTTAAGCAGTGCAATCTGATCTTCACTAGCTAAGCTTTCAAATCCTGCAGAGAAAGATACGTGTCAAGAATCAAGGAAGGCTGTGGCTGCCTTTAAGCCCCTGACATGAATTGATAAAATGAATATTTTTAAGAAATACCTTTACTGGAAAGAAGGAGCCATAGTTAAAAGATCAGTGTACCAAAGACTATTGGGATCTTTCTCGCAGCTGTGCGGTTGTCAAGTGTCCGGTTAGAAGATTCACGGGAAGATACAAGTAAAAATTTTGGGACAAAGCAAGACTTTATCAAAAATTTCTTCCTAATCTCTGATTTATATCATGTGGCCTAATTCCTTATAAATTTTCTACATTGCTTAGTGACCGGATATTCTACTTTTTCATTGATATCTATCTTTATAAAAATTGTGTTCACATTTTGTTATCTGCATTTATGATTCAAGAGCAAAGGAGCTTTAATGATTCTTTTCTTAATCCTGATAAAAGCAGGATATGTAACATAAGAAAACAAACAGCTCATCCATTCTTTCAGATCTGTTCCACAGTAGTGCTAAATTACATCAAATATCTGCTTTAGACATGTTGGTTGACTTTTGTCAATAAGTTTTACAACTTAAAGAGTAACGAAAAAATGATCACCCTCCCTGTCCAATGTTATTTTGCCAACTTTACATTAAAATGCAGTGAATTTAATTGCATACTCCCTTTTTCTTTATTAGAAGAAAATATGAATAGGAGCACCTGGTTAGTCCCTTCTGTGCTGCTTTTTCCTTTGAAGGAACATCTGTTTTTTTCTTTGCTGATTATGATAAATTGCAGGCTGAACTGGATTTCAAAGAATGTGTTGAAATAGTAATTCACTCAGGATGGTATTCTGAATGCCATATACTTTCAGAAAATGTCTCTACTTGATGTCAGAAATGGGAAAGAAATCCAATCATAGCAAGCTTTCAAAGTGAATGCTTCTGACTTGTCGTCATGACAAGTAAATGGTAACCCTGATCATTAGAGTTGGAAAAAAAAAATAGTTGAATGAGAGTTTTCTTAAAGCCTCTATTTTTCTTGGGTTCATGCCATCACTATGGTTTCTGCATCTTAAAGAAGTCATGCTATTCTGTAATATTTCCCAGAGGCAGAAACTTACCTGGAAGTCTTTTTGTGAAATCCACCAACACTTGTACATGGACAACTGCTGTCTCAGAGAGACGGAGAAAACTTTCCTCAGGACTTGCAGTTTCTTGTAGCTGCATGAAAGAGGGTTTAGACATCTGACATAACCAAGAGACAGTGCTTAGGATAATAATAACTTAGCAATGCGAGCTGATTGTTCTGTATACGTACAAACTTCTTTGCTTCCTCAAGGGGAATTGTGTATTTTTGGTGTGCTGCTACAATGTGGTCAAGAAGCTGATGTTCCCCTGGAGTAAGTTCCATTTTCTCTGGGATCTGTTAAAAAATTAAACCAATTAAGTGACAATGACTTGGGGTGAAAATAAATTATAAAAAGAGGTATTTTAAATAGAAAAATAGCCCACTTTTCCAGATCTTGTTGTAGATGATACATGCTTACTATTCAGTCCCTCATCTTCCAGCTTTATGTTGCAAAGAAAACTGCTCTTCTGTTTTAAATTCTTCCTGAGTCGCTTTGACTTGCACTGTACTTCAGTCAGCAAACCTGTGAGGCGTGGATGTGTGTATCAATATGTATCTTTTCAAATAATTACAACTTGAAATAATCACTTTTATTGTAGATTACATGGTCGTGCATCACAGGAGCCACCGCCTATAAGGAACTACGTTTCCTAGAGAATATGGCAGTGTGTTTCCGTATCCACTAAAGGCTGCCTACGTTATCTTGCTTGTGGCTCTGTGATGTACAAGTGTGAGAATTTTTCATGAAAAGTTGTTGTGCAGTTTTTAATTATTTTTTTTTCCAAACACAAAAGCACATCTGATATGCTTACTGCTGTCCTGTCAAGGTTCAGGATATTTAGCTATCTCTTGTTAGTACTTCCTTTTTTTTCCTTGTAATGTCTCTTAAGAGATATTCCCAAGCGTGTGTGGTTTCTGCAGATGAAGGTGGTACAGGTGCTACAGACTCCAAAGTTAAATTTTCCTACAGCAAAATGAAGTTTAGACCAACACCATTTATCTCTAATGAGGAGAAGGGATTGACTTTGGAAAAGGTTTTATCTGAGTTGATTAGCGAAGTAGCCCGCGTGGAAGGAGCACTTACATTCTGCTAGCATTCCCACAGCTTTACACTTCTTCAGGCGGCATTCCTGACACTTCCTTCGCATGTACATGTCCATTTCGCAATGACCACCGTTCTTGCATCTATATACTGCATTTTTGGTTATGCTACGTCGAAAGAAGCCTACAGACAAGGACCAGGTTATGACTGAAGGAATCTAATGAGCTTTATTTCATAATGACTTAAGGAATTAATGTGTCTTGGGGGGGTGGGGGTGGGGGTGTGTGTTTGGGTTTTTTACAATGGAAACACCACCTTGATTTGAAATTTGCTTTTCAATGACTTTTATGTCTTGTTCTTTCTGACTAATATTAATCACTGTTTTCCTTACCTTTACAGCCTTCGCAGGTCAGCGCGTTGTAGTGATAGCCCGAGGCCTTGTCACCGCACACCACGCACAGCTCCTCCTGTCCCT